TCTCCTGAACCCTTGCTTAGAGCCTTAGAAACTTTTCCAGTCATTTCCATACTTCAAAACCCTAAAATGACCAATTTCACTCCATCCATTTCACCATTAAACATTCTTAACATCTTTGTTGAGCTCGTAAACCGACTTCTCTATTGAATTACCCAAGTCCTAAGCCGTCTAAGCTACTGTTTGATCGAGCTGTGGTTTGATTCAATCAGAATCATACAAAGGATAAAGGGATCTTGCAATTGTCTCTTGGAGAACTTGGATTGGATCACAAAGATTGTGGTATTAACTACAAATCCAGAAGACTTCAACTGGAATGAGATATTCTTTTAATTTTCCCTTTAACATATCGAGTTTAGATTTGTGAAGCAAATTTAAATTTGAAGCTATTTTGAATGTTTCGTAGGTTTGATTTGCTTTGATGATGCCCTTGGCAGTGTTACTTCATTAATCCATGTGTTAGATCAATAGATTCGAGCATATTTCCTCGGACGGACATCGATTCATCAACTCTTTGGGGATGATAAATTGATGCCATCCAATTATTTTTAAAAGAAATGGATGGCTCGTATTAAAAGATAGAATACACGCGGTTTAGAGCTCACGCCGGATTGTGTTGACGGAGGTAGACTCCAATGATGGTGGGCTAACGAGAAGATGTATGGAAAGGGATATGACGTGGTGACACGATTTCGGCTCACTAGGATGCCACGTGTTCTGTCATTTAAACAATTAAATAGGATTTTAAAACATTAATTAATCAAAGAAATTAAGAGAAATTTTTAAATATCATAAAAATATGAAATAAATTTTTACTGATTTAGTAAATCATGGAGAACAAAAGAAAAATAAAATCAAGATGTAATGACATTAATCATTCCTTAATGGAATTAAAACCAGTAAATGCATAAAATCATAAAAAATTAAAAATAAATCATACCTCAAAATTTGAATCACTTAAGGCTTTTGATCTCAGTGTGTTATGTGATTTTTCTTCTGGTTAGAAAGAATGGTTTGATGTCTTAATTTGAATTTCATTTGCATTTTGTAATTAATGGACTAAGCAAATAAAATAAAAAAAATAAAGAAAATAAAATTAGAAATTACAAGAACTCCATGAAAATTTGAGAAAACATTTCAATAATCATTCTATGCAATAAAACAATAATCTTATGTGGTCTAAATTCATTCCAAGTCATTATAATGAGGAAGGGTATATATTTAAATTTGCTTTTTGCACATTAACCCTTTACTTCTCAAAATTAATTTAAAACAAAAAATTAAATGAAATGAACCTTCTAGATAAGTTTAATTAAACTTTTGTAATGATATTATACGATTGGATTTTCAATTGGAATGAAGAAATATGCAGAAAGTAATTATTATAAATTTTCATTGGAATCATTTGAATTAATAATTTGGTTAATTTCTAGAAAATTGGTAATTTGCCGGTGGATTTAGATGAAATTTGGTTAAAATGGGCAAAGTTATCAAAAATTACAATTATAACCTAATGGTTAAATTGAACATGTGTGAACCTTAAAATCATGAACTTCTGGTTGAAAAACCTTAAAAATGCATTAACAATAAAATTTCTATAAAACTTCACCTAAGGAGAAAGTAATAATAGGTATATTTGTAATTTTCATGCATTAGATCATTTAATCTCAAAAAAAATTTTCCTGGTTACGTCGTGTGGAATTGATATGGGGAAGGGTATAGCAATATCAATAATCGTGTTGAATATCAAATAATAAACAACAGATTTGATATTCAACAATGCAATTATGAATGATATTGAAGGATTAACGAGGAACACTTTTACCTCAAAAAAGATTTCAAATAATCCAACTATCGATTGTGGAACCTCTAATCCACATCCAAGTGATGATGACGAAAGTTCGAGGAAGTTGTTAGAAGATGTGGGAGAAAAATTATATCCAAGATGTAAGTCTATCACAAAATTATCTTTTGTATTGCACTTAATTAATTTGAAATATTTACACTTGTGGACTGCAAATTCTTTTTATATGTTGCTAGAGCTATTAGTAGAAGCCTTTCCTGAAAAGATTTCATTGCCTAACCACACATATGATGTGAAAAGAATGATGAGATCATTCGATCTTGGTTATACAAAAATAGATGCATGTTCTAATGATAGCATATTATTTTGAAAAGAGAAGTTTGACTGGGAGGTATATTATGGTTGTGGCTCATTGACATGGAACAATGCTTATAATAAAAATAGTATTTGAGAAAATAAAACCTGCATGAAGACAACGAAAGTTGTTCAATATTTTTCATTAATCCCTAGATTACAAAGGTTATTCAAATCAAAGAAATCTGCAATGGACATGATTTGGCATTCTAAACAAAAAAAAAAAAAAAACGAAGATGGCAAGCTTTGACATCCAGCAAGTGGAGAAGCTTGAAAATCATTTGCTTTGCACCCTCGTAATGTTTGTCGTGATTTGGCTATTGATGGTCTCAATCCATTTATGTTTATAAGTACTGTGTACAACATTTGGCCTGTGATTTTAGTTGCTTATAATATGTCATTGTGGATTGGTATGAAACAATGCTCATTCATCTTTTTAATAATTATTCTTGGAGAAAAAAGTTATGAAAATAATATTGATGACTCTTCAACTGCTGATTTAAGAATAACTTAAGTTATAGCATGAAGTTCAGTGGTTTGATGCTCCAAATGGAGTTAATTTCACCATGCGTGCCCCTAATTTATGGACTACATTCAATAGTGACATCTTATAACAGTTTAGGTTTTGTCTAGAAGTAGATAAAATGACATGAATAAAGGCATGTCTTTTATTTTATCAACATAAATGAGCAGGTCTAATAATTGGATACCAACGTGAAGCTCTTAATTATTACATATCAACTGTATATGTTTCCATAAAGTTTAAATCCCCTAAAACAAATTGAATTCAATTTTTGTAAAAGAGTTCTTCATCCGTTTAAGAAGGCCTCAAATTAAAAAAAAATAATAAAAAAACATTAAATAAACCATTTAATATTTCTTTGCATTAATCGTGAGGAACTAATTGAAATCTAAAAAAAATATAGAAATAATTTAGGAAGATTTACGTACATGCCAATTTCAAACCTTTAGGCCCATAGTTAACTTTGGCTTCATTTCTCATATTCTTACTTAGATTTATTTTATCAAGATGACTAGTCCTTTAGGATAATATTGGGTTTGAATTTGAATATTTGTTAGGATTAGCTTTGATTTCGATAGGATTATATTTGATTAAAAATTTTTGGCTTTATATTTTGTAAACACTATTCCTATATATAAGGATCGATAGATTCTACTCACATTATTGGCTATTGATGATTGATAGATTGAAAAAGCATAAACTTCACTTTTTTAAGAAGGTAAATGCGGCGGCGTTTAAAAAAGCCCAGGTTCAAAGATGGGTCATTGCTAAGCATGTTAGCTAAGATCCACATTGAGGGAGCCTGGAATCATTACTAAGCAAGAATATATAATTAAGTACAATCTAACTCAAGAACATCAGAAGTCTGTTCTAACTATTGCAAATGTAGAAGGAAGACTAACATACATGAAAATAAGTTATGAAGATTTACATACATACTACTCAATTCTTATGTATTTACATATCTAACACCACACTTTAATTTTTTACATATATGCCACCTTACCTATGCATGAGAAGGTGTATTACACTTTTTAAAAGTTAAAATAGTTATATTTTTTATGTAACATGAACGATTTGGGTGGTATAATTGTAAAAATTAAAGTTTAGGAGTTAAATATGTAAATACATACGAATTAAGTGGTATGTATGTAGATTAGCAAAAATTAAGCGTGGTGGAAGTTGAAGATGCAATGGTTGTATTGTGTGAGATCGAACTTTAATGAAGTAGGAAAGCCAGTGAGATAGATTGAATTCAAGTGGATAAAGTACTTCAGATTATTTAAAAAATTATTAGGTGCATCATTCAATATTTTAGGTGATATGAGGACATTTGTGAGTCAATAATGATGGACACAGCTATTAAGTTGTAGTTAAATGGGATAGGTTTAGATATTTTTTATTTATTATGCAGAAAAATTGGGTTGTAGATTAGGATATATAGAGTAAAATTTGGGTGCTTAAATCTGAGATATGCCTATAAGATATGTATGTTGAGAGTATATTAAGGTAATTTAATGAGATTTATAATTAAGAGTATAATATAGTAGAAAACAAAAGAGCCGAACCTAACCTGTATTTTAAGGCAATTTTGCTCAAATAGCAGCGTTCCTTGCAAAGAAAAATTAGATATCATATAAAAGAAAACTTACATATCCTACATTTAACCTTGGATGAACATATCCTATTATTTTTTCTTTTTAATTGTGCTTATCCTAATCGTATTTGCATTTTTTGGATGCTATAAAAATTCATTGAAATTAGTTCAACTGGTGGACTTCACAAATGCAAAAGTATAGATGCACTTGCATTGTTTAAGCCCAATTTTTTTAGTACTTTTTTAATCTGACAACTGATCACAAGCAAAGCTGTAGTATGCTTAGGTTTTTAGTCATTTAAATGGCTCTTTCTGAAAGTATATTTTTGAGAGATGATGATCCATGAACTGGAAATTATATTTTTTACATTGATTATTGTTTGTGTAGATTTCTATTGATTGATAAATAATTTATTTTCTTTTGGAAGATTTACATACTTTCAACTTAATTCCGAAGTATGTACATATCCAACATCGGAACTTCATTTTTACATATATTGCACCTTATCTATTTATGAAAATGTGCATTTCAATTTTCTTAGATTGTGATAATGGTATGTTTGATGCGATAAGAAAGGTTTGGGTGATGTAAATATAAAAAAGCAAAGTTTAGGTGTTAGATATTTAAATACATTGGAATTGTGTGGAATGTATCTAAATGCTCCTTTTATTTTTCATGTTCTATGGAGTCGTGAAATTTATTTGATATGTATTTTTAATTTCAGAAATAACAGGTAGTAGATTACTTAGGCTTGCACAAAATATTATTTCTAGAGGTGTGCCTAGTAGGATGAAAACGGTCGATCAACTAATTCACATTCTACACTAATGCATCCTGATTCAATGAATAAAGATCCCAATGATACTCTGAAAACCTCTCGACCATTATATCACAGTTCAGGATAGCAGGCTCATCGCACAGATGTGTGATCTTACTTATAGGTATGTGAGCACATTTTAAATTTAATTTGTTTTATTTATATCAAGTATAAGTTTGTTTATATTACTATTTATATTTTTTTATTTAATTTACAGATAATCAAGGGGTTTTGGTGCAATGAAGGGTATGAATGACACGTGCAAATCTTTAAAATCTATCTTTAAGCACATGCATGCAAATAGAAGTAAATGATAATGATTTGTCATGCAACATATCAGAGTCTATTATATTGATAGTGATTATATGTTGGCACCCATATCATTTTTTGGCCATATACATTGTTGGATTTTAAAATATGTTGACTCTAAACGGTATAACTAAAAGAATAACCTAAAGTCGGGGCATTAAGATAGTCGTCCCATACAGGAGATTATGGAGGATTTGCCTAAAGGAGTCGACACATTTCAATGGTGACATAGTGGTGAATTAGATGATCAGGTTTTCATTTTATTATCTAATTTTGAATTGAACAAAAGAATTAATATTTTTAATTGCAAATAAGGGGAAAAATATTGAAAAATGTAAAAGAACAGACATGTCGTAACACAATAGATCGGATCAACTCTATCAGGAGATTGACCGAAACTGTATGACGTGATTTTTGTAATAAATTTTAAGTACTAAATGTATCAAATGAAGTTTTAATCATTTGTTTTTTTGGGCTATTCATGATAGACCACAATTATGGAGACATAAGGATTGGACACGGTCATTTGATGATGCTAAGAGTAAATAAGTAATAATATTAGCTTTATTTATTTATAATGAATTAATTAAATTATTTTGATATTAACTATAATTTTTTGTAATGTAGAAACAAACTTGTACGGTGTTAAATATGGATGATTTAACTCATGAAGAAGGTATATAGAAGCAAATGAGATGGCGTTTATGGCTGTCATGTGTGTTGAAAGCGTACAAACACGTGAGTTTGAAGCACTCCTACTCAATTATTTTCCACACAGCACCACAACTACAAGTAAAAGCAATCGTATGTCTATTTCTGCTCTAGTTGAAAGCTTAGAAGATGACATGCGCTTCTTATAGAAAGAGTTGAGACAATTCATGTAACAAATGGAATCAAATAATCAACCACAATGAGGTTCACATTCGGTATATTATTTTCTTAAGTGCTTAAATATTTTATTTCATTTTCATCATCTTATTATTACTATTAATTGGTTGTGAGTTTATTATTAACATGGATGTAATGAACTTTGATCAGATTAACCAATTGAGGAGGAATCTCACAAACTGACCATCTTTAGTTTATACATTAATGTGTTTTGGTTTCTTTTATTGTAAGGTTATTGGAGGTTTATCTTATGGACTGCTAGATGTTTTGATGTTTAAGAGATGTTATTACTTAGTTATATTTTATGCTCATTATATACTTTTTTCTAAGTTATTGGATGCAAAACTGATGGATTAAAAAATGTTTTGATTTATTTGAGATATTAGTATTATTTTATATGAATTTTATGTTTATTTTTGTTTATTAGATTTCATATTTAGGAAATTTACATGAATACTACCCATTTCTATGTATTTACATATCAGACACAAACTTCAAATTTTACATTTGTACTACAGTGTTAATGTAAAAATTAAAGTTTAGGTGTTGGATACCATCACAGTAAAAATTGATGTAAAAGTCATCACGAGAAAAACCTTTTATGATGGTTTTAGAACCGTTGCTATAAATCTTTATCGCATTAACAGTTAGTAGTAGTTAAAACTATTGAAAAGAAAGTTACAGTTAAAATCATTATAAAAGTACCCACAAGAGAAAACCTTTCTAGATGGTTTTAAAAGCCTTTGTAGTGCTAACAATTGCAATGATTTAAAATTCATTGAAATGAAAATAATAGAGGTTTTTTACCATTGTGATAGCCTGTATAAAGTGTTGCAAAAATTCCTTTTTTAGTACTTCAGATTTCTAATTGAGTCCATTTTAAAATTTAGGGTCTTGAATTGTTCTTGAGTTCATATTGCCCAGAAAGAACTTATTTTTAGGAGGAGGGTATGGAAGAAGATTACAAATGTGTTGTTAGATTTTGTGTTCTTGCTTTCATTCCAGAATTCATGAAGGATGGCTTAGAGAGGAGAGCTGCCTCTTAAGGGAGCTCCTCTCTTTATAAATAAGAGGAAGTAAGATAATAATAATTATAAAATTATATCTAGTATAGTATCATATCTATCTACAATATTTTAATGAAAAAATTGTGATGTGGGTGTCAAGTGAAGCTATAAATATGAATTAACACATGCACTTTTATGTAATGATGATTTTCTCATATGACAGGGTTGTGCTGTACTAGTTAAACCATTTCAACAGATGAACTTAGTTCGACTACTTCACCAAGTGGGCTTATTTTGTCCACTTCAACGGGTAGGCTTGATTCAACCAATTCGGTAGTTGAGCTTGATGAATTCAACCACTGACAGCTACGCATGGCCTGCTTCATGGATATCTGCAGTCCTTAAGTTCTATTGGTCTTCAAATCGTACCCATCTATTAACTTTTCTCAAATACATATGGTTGCAATTTGATATACAAATTTAAATAGAACATAATCAAAATGCAATATGAAAGAATTAAAATATGTTACTAGGGGCTTAAGCTTTGGCTTGATTAATTCATATAGTTTGATCTCAAATTCAAGTTTAATTCTACATTTTGAAGTTTGCTTATTATTAATTGACTCATTTATTATCAAAGAGGAAAAAGAACTTGGATTCAATAAAGTATTATACCAAAATGTTAAAGAAAATTTAACTAATTATTGGTTAAATAAAAAAATATTATTTAAATTTTAAATATTTGAAATAATCTACACAAAATTTTAAAATTTTAAAGTATTATAAATATATTTTATTTGAATATTTTTTAAAATAATCTGCTCTAAATGTAGGTCGTAGTGACGAGCTGTAAACATGGGCCATAAAGGCCGTGTTTGGACCTACTGAGCTGTGCACTAGTTAGGTCGTAGTTGATCACATAGATCATCATGGTGAGCTACAATAATGTCTATAAGCCGTAGGACCGGAGTTGAGAGTTGCCTGAGCTATGGACCACTTAGGCCATGGTACGTCACTTAGGCTGTAGTAGTGAGCTGCAATGTCTGTAGGCCATAGAGGTCGGAGTTGGGAGCCACAGGAGTTGTGGACCACGTAACATGTATGTCGTAGTCGTGAGCTGTAATAACATCCATAAGCCATAGAGGACGGAGTTAGAAACTACATTAGTTGTGAGTTTAAATTGGACAAACAACCAATATTCTAAACTAACACAGTCCTATTTGGTAGAATTATCCTAACTTTAATTGGAAGAACAATCATGGTGTAGGAAACCAACGAGGGTGAGGGGGGCAATAGTAATCAACCAAAGCCCTTTTGGGAATTGAAACAATCAGGGTAGTTTGAACCCAAGAACTTCTTGTCCTCCATGATCTAACTCTAACCCACAATTTAAGGAGAAGAAGTTATCTTTGGAGGAGGTTGTGTCGTAAATGGGGAGTCAATTACAAAGCCAAGGTGCAACAATTAGGAATATTGTGAACCCTTTGGGTCAAATTGCTGCTACACTTAGCAGTCGACCCCAAGGAATTCTTCCCAGTAACACTGAGATTAATCCTAAGGAAAAGAATAGTGAGCATGTCAAAGCTATCAAGTTAAGGAGTGGAAGAGAATTGGAGGATGGGATTCATAAATATTCTGAGGTGGAGAAAGAGAATGTGGAATTGGAACGACTTGTGGAAGACCTTTCCAAGGATTTAGGAAGACCAGTCTCACCCACTAAGAATAACATAGAAAAACCATCACCATTATTTCCTCAGGAACTCTATAAACAATAACATGATCAACAATTTTTACGGTTCTTGGAAGTTTTTAGGAAATTGACCATTAACATCATGATTGCTGTGGCTCTGAAGCAGATGCCTAGCTATGTAAAGTTCATGAAGGATACACTCAACAAGAAGGGGAAGTTTGGAGATTATGAGACTGTGACCCTCAGTGAGGAGTGCAGTGCTATCATTTAGAAGAAGCTTCCTTTGTGCAATTAGAGAAAAGTTATATGGGAAAACTTTATGTGATTTGGGTGCCAGTAGAAACCTTATTCCATTGTCTATTTTTAAGTGGTTAGGATTAGGAGAGGTGGCCCCTAGTACTGTAACCCTTTAACTTGTGATCAATCGATCACTTATCTAAGAGGGGTTATAGACGATGTTCTAGTAAAGGTGGATAAATTCTTTTTACCTGTTAGTTTCAATGTATTAGATATGGAGGAAGATAAAAAGATTCTCATCATCCTAGGTAGACTTTTTCTAGCCATTGGTCGTTCAATAATTGACGTGCAAAAGGGAGAGTTAATGATGGGAGTAAATGATTAAAAGGGAACAATCAATGTGTTAAATCTGTGAAATTCCCTTCTGATTGTAATGAAGATTCATGTTGATGGATCTCATAGATCATTTGTTAAGCCATCAATTTTGAGAGTGTTGTGAAGTTAAACCACAAGAGTAGATTTTGATCGAGGAAACGACTGATATTGAGGACGAATCTGCTTTATTGGTTGAAGATAATCCAAGAATGGTTAGGGAGAGGTTTGAAATACTTGATACAAAAGAAAATTGTAAATCTCTTGTTCCTTTTTTTGAGGAACCCCCCACCCCGAGCTTGAGTTGAATGTGCTTCACAAATATTTAAAGTATGGTTATTTAGGGAATTCACCTACATTCCCAGTTATCTTATCCTCAGATTTGACTAATTCACAAGAGGAACAACTTATGAATGTTCGAAGAGTTTTAGGAAAGCTTTTGGATGGACCTTAACAGACATAAAATGGATTAGTCCTTCCATATATATGCATAGGATTCTGATAGAAGAAAATCATAAACCCATGACAGATCCTCAAAGGAGATTAAACCCTGTTATGAAAGAAGTTGTAAAGAAAGAAATTTTGAAGTGGCTGGATGTAAGTATTATCTATCACATATCAGATAGTGTTAGAGTTAGCTCTACCCATTTTGTACCAAAGGAATAAGGAGTGACTATGTAAGTGCATGAGCATAATAAATTGATCTCAACTGGACATATTACTGAGTGGTGTACATGTATCGATTACAGTAAACTAAGCACAACCAACAAGAAAGATCATTTTTTTACCCTTTATGGATCAGAAGTTGGATAGGTTAGCTGACCACCCATATTTTTACTTTCTGGATGGATATTCTGGGTATCATCAAATCTCTATTACTCAAGAGGATCAATATAAGACAACATTCACAGTTTCTTATAGGACTTTTGCTTTTAGAAGAATGTCCTTTGGGTTATGTAATGCATATTCTGCATTTCAATGGTGCATGATGTCAATTTTTTGTGACCTAATTGAGAATGGGATAAAAGTTTTTATGGATTTTTTTTTCAGTGTTTGGCCATTCATTTGAATCTTGCTTAGATCATCTGGCTAAGGTGCTAAGATGTTGTTAAGAGAC